CCCTCCATTAAAACATTATTAATATACAATTAGTTTCAAATCAAATGTATTGTTTTACAATGCTCAGAAAAAAACCTCTGCAAGAAATTTTTCTTACTATCATTTCTGTTCAAGATTCTGTATTAGACCAACAGCCCCTTTTTTTTTTCTAGAAATGGGGATCCAGAACTGGGCATGAGTCTTTACAAAAGTTGATTTTATTTTTTTTGCCTGGAAGTTTTCTTTATTGAAGGACCATCTGTCTTGGATGTGTGTGCTTATTTATTTTCTGTGGGAAAATGTTTACCTTTTCCCCTGCAGATCTCATCATATTATGCTGTGCTTAGAGTAAAATAAGCACATACACACATGTATGTGTGTGTATTTGTATATAAGTATGTATAGTTATGTAGGATGTTTCATATGGTTGTCTTGACAGAATCATAAGTATTGAAGTTGGCATAAGCAATTCTGAAATCATGGAAATGGTGAGGAAGATGTTCAAATGCCTTCCTGAGCAGGTGATGTCCATCAGTACTGGAAACAGATGTTACTACCTCATTGGGAACAGCAGGTAGGCATAGCAAGATGTGCAAATGCAGTATGACAATACAGTTAAGCTAATGGAACACTAAGCTGCTGCCCCAAAGCAAAGTCCTGCTCCTTCATAGCCACTCTCTTGCCTTCCTGTATCTCAGATGGTACAGCCCTGGGATGAAACAATTCAGCTGGTTGATCCAATAGAAACCAGCTCTTTTTTATGTCATTATTTTCCCCATGGCTGGGTTAACTTTTTGCTTGTTCAGACAGGTGAGCTAACCTTCCCAGGTGAGCAGCGACCTTTGTCTTCTCATCCAGCAGCTCCTGGGAGTTAGAAAAGCTTCTGTTCCTTATGGATAAATCACAGGAAATAATATTGCCTGAAAAGTAGGTTATTAATCAAGGGAAGAAGACCGAAGGGAAAAATATATCCCAGAAGTACTGACTGGAGCCTTTACTTCAGCAGGGTGGTGTGGTCCCTGCTTTCCTGAGCTGCAATTCAGTCCTGAGCAGGGTCAGAAATTGCTCCTGTAGAGGTGATCAGCCAAAGCTCAGTCAGGTGAGGAAGGATGTTTGTCACAGTGCTCCTATGCAGCTGGTTCCCAGCATCTCCTCTTCAGTTTCCCAGTCACGAGCATGTCAGGGGATTTTTGCCTTTATGCAGGAGAGCAGCTGATGTGTGAAATCCTGATAAGCACAGAAGAATAACACATACCTGAGTGTTACTTGAGCGTGCCACCCAACGCCTCACCCCGGGGCGCTGCTCTCCCTGCTCTCATGCTCAGTGGGAAGCATTCCAGAATTAATCCAGCTAAATCCACTGCAAGCATGAAACAGGGCTTCCAGGGTCCTTTCATGGCATGTTTCTCATCCTGCTCACCTAAACGCATTCCCAAGCCTTGTTAGCTGTCTTTATGGCAGGACTCAGCGGAGCACACAGAAGACAAAGCAGGAAGGACCATCCCACCTCTTGTGTTGCTTGCACACTCCTACACAGCCCCCCTGCACACCTGAGCTCAAACTTTGCCATCTGGTTATGACCACCTGAGCACTCTCTCTTGAAAGGAAGGTGCAGATTTTGCCCACAGATCTCTGGAAGCATTATTTTGGGCCCCATGGGAAGAAGTGGGTAGGCAAATGGGTTTTCCTTGTGTGTTACCTGTCAGTAAGTTTTCATTTCTGTTGTTCCAACCTACAGGCAGGAAACAGAGGACTGGGTCACTCTGATATCTTCGGTCTGCAGGGAGGACAAAAGAGGTGGATGCTGCCCTCAGGTGACATGTTACTGTACTTGTTTTTAGAAAAAAAAAAAGGCATTTCTATTTTCATTAGAAAACTGTGTGAAGGAATTTTCCTGATTTTTGCCTTGCAAGTTGGCTCTGGTCTTGGATATTAAGAAATTCAATTTCCATATAAATCCTGTACCCTGGCTTTATACATTAAACAGGCACTGCAGTGTCTGTCTGAGCTGGGATTGATTTTACATTGAAGGAATCTCTTTGAAGTGTCAGCCATATGGAAATTCAGGGATGATTGATATTATGCTGCAGTGAACTGCACCTTTGATACACCGGAATGAAAACTTGTGTTATCCTTACCGTGTGCATTTTGGTTATATTTACATCTTGTTTTACAAACCAAGCCACATCTAGTCTGTCAATGTCATGGACCAGCTGGAAGCTCTGTTCAAGCTCAGGCCCAAGTTTCTGCACTTTGTGAGCCAGCCAGACCTACCAGGTCAGACTCAGCATTAAACTACTTACATCCCTGCAGCTTCCAGTCAGCTCAAAGTGCAAGCAGGCAAATTTATGTCTGCCTGAAAAAATGCCAGGAAGACAACCTCTCTGCACCATTAAAAGTAAAATTTGTACTAGTACATTGTAGCCCATGCCCATCAGGTACCTGTCTTCTTAAGAGTGCTGTTATCTTATTCCTAGAGCCAAGATCTTCCAAATCCAGCAGTCAGAAGCCGGCCCTCCTCCTTCCCACTATTGTGGAATTCTACAGATATGACCAGTTTCCCAGAAAGTCAAAGCTACCAAAAGGTAAGCAGATTAGCCATTCTTCATTATGGGTCTGTGCCTAGGGCTGGCTGTGAAATTTGATCTGTAGAGTTGCTTTTTTCCATCAAACATTCTTCAGAGCTTCTGCAGTGGGTACCTGGGTGGTCTGTTCTGCTCTCTGGTGGGTTCCAGAGTAGGACTTGGATGATAACATCAGAGAGTCCCCACTAAGGAAATACTTTTGAGGAAAGTCTGCGTGTCAGTAAAGGCAATGAGAAATTAGTTGTCTCAACTGACTGGCAAAGATTAGTGGCATGAAGTAAGCCCCTGAAGATTTGCTTTGACATGCCTTGGCAAAGGCATGTGATGATTGTTTTGGCAGCTGCTAGCCACATTCCTCCTGTTTTGTGATTGTTCACTTCTTTGTCTCTCTCTCTTCAGGCTGTAAAGCAAAGAGAGGAGTTCAGGTCCAGTTCCTCTGTGCCTTACAGATTTTCCCCTGAATATTTAAATGGAAAGGAAGGAAAGCATTACTGCTGTCCCAAAGCAATCGCAGTCCCTATCCTCTGGTAACAGGGTGAAATACCAGCCAAGGAATTGTTGGGTTTCTGTAGTGACAAAGCTGTGTGCAAGTGGCCCAGGTAGAGGAACATGAATGGAGGTGAAGCACCTCTTTATATCTTTATAATGAGTCAACATTTTTTCTTTTGTATACAGGAGAATGGTTCCTCTGAAGACAAGAACAGGCCTTACTCAGATCCTGGTCCTCATGAGGCTCAGTGTGACTCACCAAGAGGAGTTTTTCCAAGCCTGGTGAGCAGAACTAATCAAAGAGCTCTTGGCTTGTTCAGTCTGCAGAAGTGACTATTAGCTTTTCTCACCTGGGTGTCTGTGGCTATAGATTATCCACCTACTTTCCCAGCACACTGAATTGGTTTACACTATGAACATTTCCTAAATATTTATTCTATTTTCTTGTTTAGCACTGAAAATAATCTGCTAAGAACTTGCTTAAGTACCCTGTGTTTGTTTTGCTTTTTGGAGTTTCTGTGAAGGAATTGCAGCTTGTTGCAACTCTCGAAAACTTGATGAAGAAAACTCAAGTTGCACAGGCTGAGGATTTGCCCCTCTCATCACATTTCTCAGCTGTGCTACAGTTGTCCCTAAATGGTTTATTTCTTCAGCCTCTGTCAGTAGCAACTGAGCAACGTAACTGAACTACAGAACAAGGGCTAGTTAAATTGAGGCACACCTCAGAACTGATCTGTCAGTGTAAATATGACTTCAAGTAATTTCACTTCCACATGTAGTAGGAATGATGGGCAAAGATAAAATTATGAATGTTATCACGTTATTGGCTGAATATTCTGACCTGTGTTCTCTGCACAAGCACCTGCAGTGATTTTCCTCTGCCCTGGATTACTGCCTTTGCAGCAGAGTCAAGAGGACAGAAGACATAACCAAGGCTCTCCCACACCAGTATGCAGTTTGAAACCCACCTTTATTAACAGTTTGTGCACTTGACTATGATCTGGAGTGGCTGAGATACAGGGCAAAGAATCTGTTCTGCTATCATAGCTAACAGGGTGGTAAATCATGTGCTGCAATCACCATCCTTGTAGACAGGCTGACAACAAGTATGAGATAATACAGCTAAATTTAGTGGAAGGTAGTGAAAATAGTTGAAACTACATTGCAATGCCATGGCAGTCAGCATAGCTCAGCTGATGCACAGTACTTTGTAAAGCTGCAATAATTCAGTTGTGAGTCTGAGCTCTGAAAAGCATTGAATTAACCCTTGGTCTGATTTTAACTAGCCCTACTCTGGTGCATACCAATGGTCTCTTTCTGTCTCTTTCTTATGCATGTCTTTTCTGTCTTATTCATTCATTCTTCCCATACTTACAATGCCTCAGAGATCATGTTTTTTATGCAGCTGTTCAGACTAGGACAGACTGACCATGAGGGTTAAAAGATAAGGAATTTGGATTTCATCTTTTTAGCCTGAAGCAGAGGGAATAGCAGGAAGCTCGTATTTCTGTTTCAGCATGTGTGAAAATAAATAACCTTGCTGCACAGAGAACAAGAAACAAAAATATTTGTTCATTCTATAAAAATGTTTCACTCGTCTCATAGGTTTAACATCTGCTAACGTCTCTGGACCTATTCTCTGCTCAGTGACATCTAGACAACTGACTTCCTGATTAACCCCTTGTATTTACTTTCTTTTAGAAGTATGAGTACCCATTTCAAGCATCTGATGCATTTTGCTTTTTATTGGTGCTTCCCTCATCCAGGCCCAGACCTTGAAGACTCTGTTCTGTAGCTTTTACTCATGCAAACAGACCTCTCCATGTCAGTGAGTCTAGTCATGCTGGCAGAGACCCTGGAAAGGTCTGGAGACAAGACATTTTGGAGCTACCAAACCACATCTGACTCAGCAATTCTGTACCAGCTATTTTTATACACAGCTTTCAAAATCTGAAGTCCATCAAAATAAGGAGCCCTGAATTGCATCAGCCTGTACTGTGTGTTACTGTATTGCAGGCACCTAGGCATCCTTGTTGGGATCTGTTGCACACACCTGATGTTTTGAGAGAGGTTCCTCTGTCTAAGGGCAACAACTTTCCCTAAGGAGCTCATTAAGTAACAATTACTCAGTTGTTCTGCAGGTATCATTTCCACCTTGTGCTACAGCCAATTTTCTCCAGAGTCTACTTTCTCTAATGTAAATCCATATTATGGATCAACAGACACTTAAATAACCTGTTTAGCTGTCCCATTGAGAAAAACTGTACGCTGAGGTTGACTGCACTTCTCTGGTGGTAAGGCCCCTGGAGGAATGGAGATGTTGACAAACAGCTTTAGGAAAATGCAGGACTTCTGCAGCATAACCTTCCCCTTCCCACTGTCCCTATAATCTGTGATGATGCCAAGGAGAAACACTCTGCAGCTGGAAATAGATGTCAGTGACTGAAAGCTGAGTTTGGAAAGCTGATGAGTGCTGTCTGTGCTTTGAGATTTCCTAGGAAATCACCTCCTCTTCTCCCTTGTCCCCAAATGTTTACCTGTTTGGTGGATCCAAGCTTCCTGAAGAGTCACTGGAAAACTTGTTTATGACTTTAGCTCATGACCACACAGCCAGTCTTGTGTCTGCTGTGGTTTTGTTATGCACTTCTTGAAGGACCATTTGCAGGTTTGTTCTGACTCCTACTGCATGAGTTGCTTTTAATGTCATTTATACCGATGAGGAAAAAAGATACATTAATCATCCTTAATTTATATTCAATGCCAGTTTCTTCTCTTTACATGTAAGAAAGTAATTAGTTTAATTTACTTTACCTTGAAAACAGTAATATATACGTGGCATATTTAGCAATTATTAAAATGATCACCATGGAAACCAAGGATGTAAGCGCTGAGATAAAGAACGGTTGCATCCCAAACATGGCATGGAGAATTGCATTGGGAGGCAGCTAAATACTAATTATCATACTCTTCACTACAGTGGAGTCAACAAGGACACATAAAAATAAATAATTTATCTTTGTGACTTAGAAAGGTAAACTTGGTGGAGGGATTCATTTCTCCTTGATTTACCAAATTGCCTCAAACTTAATGTTTCAGGTAATTATGAAGCCAGAGTCTCACACAGGATGCAAAGGGTTCAGTGTCAGATCTCCAGTCCTTTGGGTTATCTTCCAGTATGAGATGATATGACATTATAGAGATAATATGAGATTATCATATGATATGATGAGATAATAGACTTCTCATTAGTCAGGGAAGTTCCAAATTAATTCTTTATTTGATAGCAGTTCAAAGCTGCTTAAAAAGGACAAATATATCCCAATCCACTCCTAGGTTTCATATTGATTTTTTCCTCATGTAAGGGCTTTAGAACTGAACACAAATAGAAAATCTTTTTACAGAAGTGACCTTAAATTCATGCAGATCCATACATGAAGTGTTTAGCCCACTTGATTTTTAAGCAGAATAACAGGTTGTGATCATGCAGTCAGTTGCACCTGCCTGCTTACCACGAATCCATCTATGAGAAGTACTAATACCAGCGACCAGTTTTGTCTGTGTGCATTGAATTTCAAAAATACAGGAAGGAGTACAAATATAGAAACCTTGTTTCTAAAATAGGCTGTCTCTGTGGATAGCTCACTTCAAGGAGAAACGTGTCTTCCCATGGTTTCTGAGGATATTTGCTGATTCTATTACTTCTCTGTGCAAATGGAAAAACACCTGATAATCTGTATAACTGAACCTGTTAAACACAAAGCCATTCTTTTAGCAGGATAAAATGCTGGGGAGAAGTGAGGAAAATCTGCTGCCATCAGATACAGATGAAAACATCCAAAAGGACGAAGAAGATTATTACCAAACTCCCAGCAATATTCTAGCAAAGGTAATTTATCAGTTGTGAGTTCTGCTGGTTTGTTAACAGCTCCAAGGACACAGGAGGCATTTAATGAGCCAAAGAGCAACTGGTAGGAGGAACCACTTGTACCTTGCAAAAGGAATAAGTAGATAAAGCAATAGGTAATGGAGCTTTCATTTATACAAGAAAAAAATGCACTAGACTCATTCAAAGGATCTTTCCGGTAGAAAGTGGCATTTTGACAAAAACATTGCTGATTTTGTTGAAATTCCCCAAATTGACTGTTTCATTGTAAACGGCTTTTGCCTGTTGTATAACAGGGTGGAGTGGGTTTTTTTCTGAAAGTGAAAACTTCATTTAGAGAATGTAACAGTACATTAGTTTTGCATATTTAAAATGTAATTCTGTTGAAGCATCAGTAAGCTGCATAAAACAAAGCAGTACTTTTAAAATGCTGCAAACATTTTGGTATCTACATTTCACTGTGAAACAAGGGAGCAGGAGAAATCATACTGGTAATATTAAACAAATTCTAACACCCAATTTTGAGAGGCTAATTTCTCTAGGCTTCCCATGTAGTTCGTGGTGAGAAGTTGAGTGGCCAGTTTTCTGCAGAAGTCACAGAGTCTCTCCTAAGACTGTACATCTGACTGAAGGACATTAACAATATGATTTTGTCATATAATCTAAGTGCTCTAAGTTAAGCACACCCAAACTACAAGCCTCTATTTTTTTTCAGCCTGCTTAAATTAAAACATAACCAATTTTTTTTGTGGTAGTACTTTAGAATATAACTGATCATGTCCCAGTCTGAGGGTGTCAATACCAGACAGTGCTAACGTATAAGTTTCAACCACATTTTTAGCTCTCAATTTCTGGGAATTGACTTACCTGGGGAAAGCCAAGCTATATTAGCCAATGTGTCTAAACAGCACAAGCACTGAACAAAATCAGGAAATTAATATTTTTTTTCCTGTAGGCAGAGCAGTTTTATTAATGTCTTGTGTTGCTATGTGTTTCTGACAGTGCACTACTGAAGTATCAAAGCCTGATCCTGCAGCTGGGTCTGATGGCCTTGTGCAAGAGAAGCCAGTGCAAAACAACCCAGTAAAGGAGGACATTTATATGCCAATGAAATCACTGTAAGTAACAACTTCATTAAGGTTTTGCAAATTAAAAGTGACATAGTAGTACAGATAGGGCTGACATCTGTGGTATTTAGTTAATAAGATGTAGAGGCTGCATCTTGTTTGAATGAGTCCTTGTTTGGTCTTGGTTCAGAAAGTTCAGAACTCATGGGTATACTAGAGTCAAAGTCAAATTCATCAACATGAAATTTAAGCTCTCATTGCAGACTCATGCGTTTACACAGGCTCTGACTATAGGATGCAGCACTTTTTGTTGACTCTTACTTTTTCTAGGTTTTCATGACAAAACAGCCCACCACTTTACTGAGATACTGCAGCCAAGCTCCAACAACCTTTCAGACAGATACTCTCCAAGGCAGGCAGCATTATCTAGTGGTTAAAAGAGAAACGTAGAGATGGTGCATTAGCTCCCAGCTTTTCCAGTAAGGAGTTGTGTGAACTGGAGTGGGTCATCTCTACCCTTCCATTTCCCCTTGCAAAGAATGGGTCTGATGCTGTGCATTTTGAAGGTACAGTGTTTGTTTGGCACATCACAAAGGAAGACCTGAACTTTATGTCACAGTTATAATGCCACGAGGAAACTTTACAACTGCCACATTATAGCACTGAATACTGAAATGTGCCTACACAGTAAAGTCATCCCTCCTGAGCCAGAGGACTGGTCAGTAGCTGTTTGCTATGCTCTGCCACCTACACACAGTCGGGTCTGATGCCACATCGTGGAGCCAACTGGAAATGTAGACATACAAACCAGTTTATTCCAACAGATTTATTCAAGCTCATCTATGTCTTTCAGAGCCACCAGAGGGAATTACTATAAAAAAACCCACAAGTTTATGCCATCTAAGTTAAAATACGCCAAGAGCAGCTTTTGCTACTAACCCCAGTCTTGTTTGGGGCATGGGGGTGAGTCAGCTCCAGGCATTATAAGGCTCATCAAATAAACCTAAAATGAGTTCAAGCATGTCTGAGTTATTCTATCTCCCAGGGGGCAGCATTACATCCCTGCAGAACCCAGTACAGCCAAAGCCAACAATCTGTACTCAGTTTCTTTGTCAAGGCATGCTGTTAGCTGGAATGTTTTCAGGCTTAATAAATAGTTTTTACATACTGAAAAGGTTTATTTAGGGATTTATGGTCCATTTTTAGAAGGACTGTTTATTTTACTTAGCTGTAATTTTGCCCACTGGATATTGGACAAGAACTTGTTATTCTTTGTTTTACTGATGGCTGTTGGATCCAGCTTCAAACACAGCAAGAGTGCCTGGAATGGTCAAACGAGTTAATTTTTTATCATCATTCTCTTCAGTAAGTTGCTGGATGAGAGATGCCAGCTCATGTGCAGACTTGATGGGCTCCCTTCTCCCAAATGCCAGGACAACAGTGCGCATCCAAGAGACTTGGAAGCAAACAGAGACACAAAATTCCCAGAAAGCAGCACCGGCCCACAGCCAGCACTCCAGAGAAGGCAAAATTCATTACCACTTTCAGTGGTTCAGTTGTCAATACTGCTCAGGTAAGTGTCTCCTCCGTTTCATTGCAAAGACAGATGTGCACGTGGGTTTCAGCTGAGGTACTGGTAGATCATGCAAAGCCTACCAGCATTCAAGAGGCATCTGGATGATGCTTTTAGTCATATCTTTTGGTTTTTAGGTAGCCTGCAAGGAACAGGGAGTTGGACACAATGATCCTTATGGGTCCTTTCCTACTTGAGATATTCTATGATAATGTGGTCTCTGATATTTTCTCTCACAGTCAAGTTACAGATGAGACTCAGCTACAGAAGTTGGATATTTTCGTACCTCTGGCTGATATTAACACTTACCTAAAACTTACCGAAGCAGCAGGACGAATATGGTAAGCTTGAATGTTGTGTGACTGTTATTTCCCAAGGGAAATAACAAAAGCAGTACCATAAATGCAATCCTGTTCAACCATTGCCTCCTGTTAGCAGTGACTGAGTATGTTTCATGTTTCCTCATTGTCTGCCCTCCACATACCATAGTGTTTCACAGTGGACTGGTCCTCGCCAGCTGGGATGTTTGTTTAGGCATGGAGACCATGTAGTGGCTGTGAATGATCTGCAGCCCCAGGGTGTGGAAGAGGCTTACTTCTTCATCAGCAGGTCCACAAGAAAGGAGGTAAGCTTGACTAACCTGAAGGTGATAGTTGAATGTATCAAGCCAAAGGAAAAGGAATTTTCTTTTTACATTTCAAGAGGCTCTACTCAAACCAATTTACTCTGGTTCAAATTTGGCATAAATATCTGTAGTACCAATCAGCTCCTCAGCATCATTCTGATGTGGCACCTCTTATTCCTGGACTTTATGGGGAATCCAAGGTCAGTATTGTGGTGTTTGAGGACTTGTTCTAAAAGAGTTTGAGCAACCCCAAGAGATTCTACTGGGCAACCATAAACTAGAGTTACCTGGTACTTTTTGGGTAAGGCCTAAGAATTGCAAACTTTGGGAAATAAACTATTGCCTCCAGTTGCTTCCTAGTGGTTTTGGGTATTGAGAGCAGAGCCTTAGACTCCTATCTTCTATTGCTTCTATTGCTTATCAAGTGCTACACATCTCCTTGTGTGATACCATGTTTTTAAAGAAAGTGGGAGATTTCTAAGTGCTGCCTTAACCCCACTGTGATCTACTACATGTTGATACCTATGTCTCTCTCAGATGGACTCATATTTCAGTATCCAGGTTCTCTGATGCATACCAGAACTTATTCATATTTGAATTTTGCTGAGAAAGTTGAGGTCATCAGACCCTGTTGCCATCTGGTGTCAGCAAGGGAAAAAATACTTATCTCTCTTAATAGAGCATTTTTATTTAGCTAGTTAAAATACAAGTCAGATGGTTGCACAAATGTTGATCAGAGATAACAAGCTATAAAAAAATTCCTTCTTTTTTTCTTTTTTAAGGTGAAACTTACTGTATGTAGGATTCCCTATTCAGATATCTTCCATGCTAAAGGCTGCTCATGTTCCTGAAAAAAACCACCTCGGTGATTAAGTAAGTGCCAAAGTTCAAGGGAAAAGATCAGGGAGAAGAATGTGGTGTATGGAGATAATCTTTATCTTCTTGAGCTGCCAGGCATCTTTTGTTGCCCGAGTGCAAAGATTAGAGAATGTGGATTTCATTTAATGTCCTAATAACTTATTTTGTTGGCATGAATGGCAGGTATTTAGCTTATATTTCATTACATGAAAAAAAAAAATGAGGGTCAAATAATTTACATGACCTTTGCACTGTGTATACTTTGCATTTCAGCGGAAAGTACTGGTTCATGCCTCTGCTCACCTCTTTACACCTCTTTACACTGATTTATACTGAACTCTTTATTAGTTATGGGTGTGCAAACAACCAACATTTGGGATAAAGCTATGTTTTCCCTAGATTCCCCAGAAGGGCACACCTGCTCTGTGAAAGTGTTACTGGTAAAGACAGCTAGGAAAATCAGAGAGAGAAATTATGTGTCCAAAGGCATGTGCTCAAAGCCCAATGCAGAGTTCACTGAAAGAATTTTGATGCTGTGAAGTAGTAGCACAGCGATGTCAGTGGTACCACAGCATTCCAGAGCAAGTGCTCATGTTTCCCAAATGAGGACATTCCCCATAAATATTTATTTGTGTATATGTCTCCCATTGCCACCATAGAAACATGACCAGTTTTCAGCTAATATCACATCAAAAGAACTTGATAAGGAACTGCCTGCAGGGATGACTTTAGAGGATGCCAAAATGGAGCTATGTCCTGTTCTGTAGTGACCTCTGTTGCTTACAGAACCATGGTGTGACATGGCTTGTGTGCAGAACACATCTGTGCTCTGTATGAACCTGTACACATTGGTACATTGCATGTTTGTGTGGGGATGTATTTACACACATATAGATTGCTGTAAAATAGATTGTGTCAATATACAATGATGTGGCAACAGACAGAATCACTGGTTTTGAGTACAGAAAATTTTATTTTACCAAATACAACCAAAATAACTACTGGGTTTAGCAGGCACAGGATTATTGACATTAAGAGATTTATATAAGCTTTGATTAAGGTGGATTTGGTTCAAAGGAGGTATTTGTCCAGCTTCCAATTGAATTAGGCCAAGTCAGCTACTACTGTAAGAAGCTACACTCACTAAAACTCAGCACTGGTGCCACTTACTCCAGTAGTAAATTTGACAAATGTGCTTTGTCAGTTCAGTCTGGACTTTTCAAAAAAAATCGTTATAAAATTTTATTTAGCTGAAGAGGAAAACAGTGTCAAGTAACTCAAAACAAGCAAACACAAATATGTATGCCATCTATTCAGACTCAGCTCCTGCTCAAAAGATTAATTTCCAGACTGAATACTTCCACAGCCTGTCTCTTCTACTTTTGAGGTAAGAGTGTTTGGGACATGCTTGTTTCTCAAGGTAGGAAAGGATCATGTTTTAATATTTCTGTTTCAGAGATGTTCAAAGGCCTGTTTGTACTGAATCCTGCATAAAGACCGAGGGAGACCTCAGTTACGGAACTAGAGAGACTGGAAATGGGAGAAAAGACATTCCTTGGGAGCTCTTCTCGAAAGCTGCTCTGGGACTCCTTTGCTCTGCACATCAGATCCATTTCTGCCTAAGGAGACTCTGAGGGACAGAATGGGTGGCTGTCACCATACAGGGCTTCTTCCAGCTCTGTAACTGTGTCAGTCTGCTAGGACAGGACAGTCCTTTAGGCCTGAATGCTAAAATCACAGGTCATCTAGTTCAAGTGTGTCCACTGACAATGTCATCCTTTTGTGGCCAAGGTTTGCCTAAGCTCTTCTTCTGAACTTCAGGAAAGGAACATTCAAACCTTCCCATGTGGTCTCAAGACTCATCTCTTTGTAAAATTAGGAATTTTTTGTCTAATATTTATCCTAGATAATTTTTTTCATAAAATTAACCTGATTTTTCTTGCCCTGTTTTCAGTGGGCATGGGGAATGTCTGGATTTCCACTATCTCCAGAGAATTTTCATTGTGGAAGGTGTTTTGTCCTGCCTGTTCTCCCTTCTCTTTTTCTTAGACCAAACACCCTGCATTCTTTCATCATTTTTTCAAACAGTTCCTGAAAATGGTCATATGTCACTGAACTGAAGACAAATACCTTGTGTTTCCAGTTATGGATGAACAAAGGAGGGGAGAAATTGGAATTCAAAGAATTTCTTCAAAAAGGAATTCGAAGCCATGAAACAATTTCCTAGAACTTCATAGAGAAACATTTCCAAAACAAGGTGAACTAGCAAAGAAGCTCCCACGTGGTGGTGGGAGAAGAGTCCCACCTGCAAGTAGCATTGCTGCTGAAGCAGATGTTGAGCACTACATGCTGCACCTCTCAACTGTGGAAGAATGTTACTTTTGGGCAAAAAATGGGATTTGGGTAGATAAAGCATGCCCAGGGTACTTCCAGAATATTTCAGAAAACTGGGGGATTACTTCTGTGCTTCAGTAAACAGTTGCTGATGTGTTACTCCATAATTGATCATTATGTCAGTTTGCACAATGCTAAATGGAGATAATTAATGTCACATATTGGCTGATTCATAACACTTACAGAGATACAATATGGAAATGGCATCTGTACAGTAAATTCTGGTAGGGTGTGTGAAGTTCTCTGCCCACACACAGACATACATAATAAATGTGTTAACACTTTACAACGCACCACATTCTGCAAAATACCTCTTCCTCCTAACACGGCCCCTCCTTGTCCTCCAAAGACCTGTAACTTCCCAGTAACCTGCAGATGAGTCACCAAACAGCCATTTTTAAAAAGGTACCCTTAAAACAAAAGGTCAACTTCATTCTGGAACATTTTTCCCAATGTTCTTCAAATGAGTATATTCTTCTGAACCTCTGGGCTGCCCCTAGGAGCAACAGCGAAGGGAAGTGCTTCTGCATGGTACTGCCCAGTGCTCACTTGTGGTCCCCAAAGACCTGAAGGGAATGTCTTTAAACCTACACCATCTGAGGGGAAACTGATCATTTATTAGATCATCTGTAGGCATTTTAAATGTGTGGTATAAGCACACACTCTTTAAAGAAACAGGTGCTAGTGTAGCTTCTTGTTGCAGGATGCTCTGTAGTGTCAAAATCTTTTCTTAGCTGGTCTCCAGGTAAGTCTTGGACTATGGAGGGTTCTCTGACACTGATGTTTAAATTGGCATGAGATGAAATTCAGTCAATCCAGAGACTAGCAAATCTATGTAAAATAGAGCCGGAAGAAGGCTGCAGACCCTAAAACCTTCTTTCAGTATCTACAGCACCAGCATCTGAAAACTGGGTGTACAAAAGACAAAACCCAACCAACTGCAACACTGATTATGTGATTAGCTAGCAATTAACATGCTCCTCACTAACTGCTTTATTTCCTGTCATTGAATACACTTAGTGCCTTTAGGTTGTTTCCCTGGCTGTTAATTTGTGGCACATTCCCATGCTGCACTCATTCATTAGTGGCTGCTAATTTCCCCCCCTGAATTCATAAATATGAATCATGCTCTTTCTACCATTCTAGCAGGAATATGGCAGTTGTCCAGGAGAAAAGAAAGTCCTGGAACAGAAAGAAAGTAGGAGTAAGAGAAGTCTCCATATTGGTGTGAGGTAACTGAAGTGAAGAAAAATAAAAAGCCCATTTAACACCAAGCAGAAACCAGAACACACAATCCCCACATTTCGTCTCAAGGGCAACACTACCAAGAGCTGGTAGTCACATACTGCTCAAGAGAGTATGAGTCCTGCAGGAGGAGTCAGGCCAGGAAAGATTCTCTGTACTATCTGTGTCCACCCTGAACTGAGCCAGAGATGAGCTCTGTGTAATGCAGTGCCTGGCTGCTCCCTCCAGCCTGAGGGATTGGAGGGATATCTATGTATCTAATAGGGGTATCCATGTGTTTAATAGGGATATCTGAATAACAGCCAGACACGCTTCAGTGTGACCGGAATTTCTGCAAATGGAGTCAAAGAGGAGCAGCTGCAATAAAGGAGAGCAATGTCACCCAGCACCCTGGGGAGGGAGCAGGTCTGTGGTGAGCTGGGGACACCAGGTGCTTAATCTGTGTTTTGCCCCAAATTTTCTGGTGACCTCAGAAGAGCCATTTCCACACACAGAGTAAAATTCAAGAAGTGATTTCAGACACATTTGCATCATGCTGTCTCTTACCATGAATGTGATCTCCAGCATCACCTTCAACACCATGAATTGCTTTGGCTCCCAGAACATTGCTGGAAAAGCAATCAGGCCTGTACACTGCAGGCATGGGGGTTGGTTCTGCAGTGCCCCATGCTATAGGGAGATGCTGATGTGGCCCTTCAGTGCTAAGGAAGAAACATCCTTAATGTCCTGAAGAAACTGGCTTACCCTCAGTTACCCTTCAGACAGCACCATCATGAGTAAACGTGGTGCTCCCACCTCCCTGCAAGGAACTGTCTCACCCTGTATGGAGAGCTGCACCCAGCAGAGTCTGTGGAAATCTTCTCAGTCCAATGGATTTATCCAGTACTTCAGGCCCATTTGGGAACATACTAATATATACAAGGCTGTTTCCTTGCTGGTGCTCCCTTTGTCAGTGCAGGGCTAGAAGGAGAATGTACTGAATCCTCAACAAAAAGCCTTAACCATGGGACTGTCTACCTTTGGGTTTGTGAAGCTGACAAGGGAATCTGAGATGCTCTAAGGGCTTTCTTGGTTTGTTTCCCAGGGATGAACAGTTGTTCCATGTACGTGCCCCAACCTAGCCAGCCACTTCCCTCCTGCAGGCTGGCCAGCAAGTCACTGCGAGGAACTTGGAGAGTGCCAGGCAGTTCCTAGAAATGCCACTGGAATTTCAAATGTTCCTTTTGGCCCACTATAACTTTCTAATTTATTGCATCCTTTAAAGAAGCACAAAGGCCAGCCAAAGTTGTTAGAAATTTTACATTCAGCGAAAACACCTTAAGAGAAACCTTAAAGAGTTCTCAGCAACTCAAGG